CTATCCTAGTCATAATACATTGTCAGCCTTTTCCGTGGCACCTTCCGGATGAGCATGAGGGAATGACCACTCCAGGATGGATAGGAGCAGCTGGCCCGCAGGGGCTTGCCAGGGTGGTTTGGGATGCACAGCTGAACGCTTCCTGTTTGGCCTTTGCACTCACCTTAGTGTTCTGAAGAAGCCTTGGTGCACTGCAGCTCTGTCAGGGCCCTGTTCCCAGCAGAGGCTTCAGGTGCTTTGCATAGAGTCCAGGGCAGCTAGAGCCCTGGGGAGGAGACTTCTGGACCCAAAGGGAGCTTTCCCAAGAAGCCTTTGGTGGCTATACTGCAGGCAGCAGTGATTGAGTGCTGGCAGATACAGAACATTTACCCAGGTATCTGTTACCAAGACAAGCTCCACCTCAGTTTATCAGTATGATAAGTTACTGGTATAAGAAGAGTAAGTACATTCCAGATGGGTTATTACAGATGAACAGACACTCAACTGGACTCATGTCCCTGCAATTAAACTTATTTCAACCATTTGGAAAGTTATCAAATGCTAAATTTGGAATTAATGCATTTCATGTTTTTGTCTACTTTTGGGTGATAAAAAGTATTAGCCCTCATTTATGGACAAGAGAGACATAATGTTATAACCATTATGGTATTTGTGTGGCATTTTTTAATTTTAAAAAACGTAGGCAATAAGCTGGGTTAGCCTACACATTAATTCTATCGTGTAGATTTTCAGGTTTTGGAAGGGTTTCTGTCATCATGGAACAAGTGGTCTGGGACTAAGTACTTCTCAAGTTGTGGGCTAAGGCTTGTGTCATGAGACAAGAGGACTCTCTGAGCAGCCCAGTCCTTGTCTGCAGGGGGCGCTCTGAGCACTTCCCAGCCCACGTCCACTCCTCTCAGAAAGGAGAAAGAAAAACGGTAGTTTAGGAGAAAAGTCTCCTTTTTACGTGTGTGGTTATGTGTGGGGCTGGCATCCTAAATGTGTGACATTTGGCTTCCAGACAATGCCTGGAGTCTCTGCCGCAGACACCCTTGCTCCTGAGTCATGATTATTTTCTTTCATGTTAGATTGATGACTTCTGTGAATACAAATCATCCTGGTCCGATTTTACCTGACCTCCTGGGCCTGCTGATGGGCTTCACAGTCCAGCGGCCCACACCTGCAGGCAGGATGCTGTCATCAACAAGCTAAGGGCAGCTGCTTTGCAGAAGACCTCACACGGTGTCCAACCTCATCCAGATAACATTGTCCCCATCCTCCCCATCCACCTCATCAAAACAACACATCACAGAGCTCAGTAGAGAGGTCCTGCCTGCCCGTTTCTCAAGGGAAGCCAGTAGGCAGCACAGGCAGCACAGGGCTTCCAGAGCGGCCCCTCAGAGGAGGCAGAGGCTCATGGCATAGCCAGGCATCTGCAGAGCAGCCGCAAGGGTGGCCGAGGGGTCCAGGTGTCTCCCCAGGTGAGTCCCTCCACGCACATGTTTGAAAAACTCTAGTCTTTCTAACACACTGAGGGAAAGATTTTAAAAATCTGTGGAATAAATGGAGGCGATATTGTTTACAGATTTTTTTTTAAAGCCACCAGGGTTGATGCTTTCTTACTTATCCACTAGATGTCAACAGAGGTGCTGTTCTGTGGCTCTGCATTAATCCCTGCCTCGTGTCTGTCACACGTGCTGCTGGGTTGACAGTAATTCCAGCTCCGTCCCTGCAGGCAAAGGAGAAACAGGACGTACTTCACAGGACAGAGGATTGACAGAAGTCAGTTTAAGAGAAGTGTTTTAGTCAGACTTCAGATATCTCATTCATTTCTTGGATTTGTGTTCACAATTGTGTTGTCTAATATGTGTCTAAATTGTAAAAATATGTACATGCATAGTATCATTTTAAAATACGAAGGAAAGAATTTGATGTCCACAAAAAGTGTTTGAGGTTCTTTGATTTAGTAAAAGCCAGTTCTGTGTTGACCTATGGAATTGTCATTTGTTTTCATTTCTCTACATTTGAGAGTGACATTGGTTAGGAGCAATGGTGACTCTTCTGAATGTTGGATTCTTCACTTAAAAATGTGGCAGTTGCTCGCCACAGTGTTCTAGTGGCAGGTTTCTACGCATGCATTCTTTTTGATTCTAACAAGACCTTTGGAACCCTGGGTAAGAAGAGCCCCATCTATTGAGCTCTCTCCTTGTGACGGGCCCTTTGTTTTCACAGCAGCACTGGGAGTGGGGACTCTTGCTACCACTTTGTCACAGATGACACCGTGCCAGACTTGCCCAGTGTCACTCAGCCCATGTGTGGGACAGTTGGGTCAGACCCACGTGGCGCTCATGGTGCTAAGTTACGTCCAGTCCTCCTTCCCCTGCATGCTCGATGGACATGGACACCCAGGAGGGCCCTGCGGCGTGGCCATGAGCACATGGCTAGTGAACATAAAAGCAGGACTGCACAGGGTCGCTTCCTCTGGCCTTGTCATCTCTACTCCTGAACAGTCTTATAGGTGGGGAGGGACGCTATAGTCATTTATTGGAATTGAAACTGCTTTTTAACTTGGTAAGGCAATTTTCACATCTGTTGCTTCATTTGCTAAATTTACAAAAACTGGTCCAGGTTGAAAGTCCAGGTTCCTTAAGACATCTTCACAAACCCTCTCCACTCCCACCCAGGCTTTATGCTGCAGTTTCTAAAGTCCTCCTCCCTTTCATGGGCCTCATAATCTGGCAAGAGGCCCCATGGGATGGGACATTGGTGATCCCCAGGAGGCCTGAGCGTACTACATTGCATGCAGAATTCTGTGTGCCTATGAACACTGACTTGGAGAGAGGGTTCCCAGTTTTCATTAGTGTTTCAAAGTTGTGTATGACCCAAAAAAGGTAAAATGTCAGGTTGAGGTAAAGAATGCATGTTGGCAAGCCAGACTTCAGCGCATGGAGCCTGGGCTGCTGCGGGAGGCAGGCATGGCAGCAGGACTGGATCAAGAGGCGCCGTCGCATTTAGGAAGACCTCTTCTGTGGCATAAGATGCTGCCAGTAGGTCCTGACTTTTCCACACATCAGGGTGTGAAGGAGCCAGGTATCAAGTCCAGCATGACAGTCCCTGGTGCCTGTCGGCCTCTTCTCTGCTTCCTGGTACATGGCTGTAGACATGGGAAGTGGCGGTCCAGGTAGCATAGTCCACAGCCCCGAGTGGGCTGGACAGTGGCATCTGGAAGACCGTTCCGTCCACTGTCTCTCCCGTCAGAGGCAGGGCTCCTTTATGATCCTGTTTCATCCGGACCGCAGCTCCCCGGAGGTAGATCACCAAGTCACTGGGGCTCAGATTTCTTGGGCTATCCTGAGATCTGTTGGCTTCACAAATCTCACTGTCCTCAGCTCCCTCTCCTGTTTGGAAGTAGGAGGCTTGATTATTCCACTCAGCAAATGTGTAGAGCGCATCCACACTGCCAGGCTCTGTGCTGAGTGCTGAGAGTGGAATGATGCAAGTCCGCCCTGGCTCCTGCGCTCATTCAGCATATCGTCTGGCCTGAGGGACCCCTGAGGCACAGAAGCAGCCTAGAGCTGAGCTCAGACTCAGGGGCCTCCCTCAGAAGGACCCCAGAGTGCTCCTCCGTGGTGAGGTGAGGACAGCTAGCTTCTGGGTGAAGAGGGGGTCAGCCCAGCCTTGCAGTGTGACACCTCGTGGGCACAAAGGTGAGGATGGTAGTCCCTGTGGTCAAGGACTTGTCTAGGGAGAAAGTAATAAATACATATTCACCTTTTACAGCCAGGCCAAGTGGGTTAAGAGCAGAGACTTGAGCCTGGGAGCTTGTGTTCACCTTTGAGCTCACCTGCTCCCTGTGGGAACTTGGGTAAGTAAGTGATTTTCTGAGCCTCCATTTCTTCTCTATAAAATCGGGACAATGGTAATATCTTTTTTGGTTGGTGGGAGGATTTAAATGAAACTACAATGGAAAAAGCTTCTAGCTATGTAAGTGCTCTGATGGGGCAGGTGGAGGTGCTGGTGATTGGCCTTCATGTGGGGAAGCAGGTTCACTCACCTGCATCGTGGAGGGAAACCCAGATCTGTCCTGCTTCAAAGTCTCTTGCCTTATCACAGCCCGGTGTCAGAGTTCTGCCATGCAGCCCCAGGCCTTCAGACAGCTGTGCATCCGCGTGCGTGTGTGTGCCCATGCGTGCGTGTGTGTGTCTCTGTGCATGTGTGTGCATGCGCGTGCATGCATATGTGCATGGCTAACTAACTGCCTCCGGGTCCTTCAAGAGGAAAAGATGCTACAGGAGCAAAGGTATTCTAAGCCAGAGTTTCAGGCTTACTCAAAATTCAGGAACTCAGGGAGGCCAGGCTCTCAGCTGCTCTGGTGTTTTCTTGGGTGTCCCAGGGAGCTCTCCCTCCTTCTGTGCCCTGCTCCACCCTCCTCATTACAAGAGAAACTTATGGCTTTCTTAGGATCATCCAACAGATGCGGTGCTGCTCACGTGTTGATAAGGATCTTACCCCACTCTTAGAGTATCACCCATAGGAGAATAAAATGTGTCCCAAGCACAATCACACATTTGCCTGTAAGTGTATAAGAACTGACAAGGCCAGCCTTTCAGACCATTCCTAATGGAAGTGGCAGGGAAGTTACCAAACCCTGGAAACTAGATGTGATCCCCAGCATAAGAGGGTGACCTACACACATCCTGTTGACAAGTCAGAGGTGGCCCCAACTCTGAGGAGCACCCCCAGAGGCCGCCTGGTAGCTGCAAGGAGGGCCACAAGCATCTGCAGCGCCTGCTGCCTCACAGCAGCTGAGGAACTTGTTTTGAGTCCTTGCGTGCCAGAAAGACACCTTGCATCTGCTCTGACACTGAAATCCTAGTTCGCTTACAGGATTCTTGACTGGTGATTTTCCTACTGGATTCTTTCCTACTGGCATCTCAAGGCATTGCTCTGCTGTCCTCGACCTTCCATTGCTGCCTGGCGGATTTCATAGCCATTGGGGTTCTTGTTTCTTTGTATGATCTTGCTTTGTAGGATGAACAACCTCATATGTGTCAGTGCACAAAATGGCGCCCCACAGCCTACTGGTGAGCCGGCTGCAGAAAGCCCTGGGTGTGTGGCAATACCATGTGGCCTTAGTCCTGTGCCAACGGGCCAAGGTGACGATGAGCCACTTTGAGCCCAATGAGTACATCCACTACCACCTGCTAGAGAAGAACATTAACATTGTTCGCAAATGACTGAACTGGCCTCCGACCCTCCCAGAAAAGATTGTGTGTGGACACCTGGATGACCCGGCTGGCCAGGAAATCGAGTGGGGCAAGACCTACCTGCGGCTGCGGCTGGACCGCAAGGTCATGCAGGATGCGACGGCCCAGATGGCCATGCTGCAGTTCATCAGCAGTGGGCTGCCCAAGGTGGCTGTGCCATCTACCATCCACTGTGACCATCTGATTGAGGCCCAGCTTGGGGGCGAGAAAGACCTATGCCAGGCCAAGGACATCAACCAGGAAGTTTATAATTTTCTGGCAACTGCAGGTGCCAAATACGGTGTGGGCTTCTGGAGGCCTGGATCTGGAATCATTCACCAGATGATTCTGGAAAACTATGCATACCCTGGGGTTCTTCTGATTGGCACTGACTCCCACACCCCCAACGGTGGCGGCCTGGGGGGCATCTGCATTGGAGTTGGGGGTGCCGATGCTGTGGATGTCATGGCTGGGATCCCCTGGGAGTTAAAGTGCCCCAGGGTGATTGGCATGAAGCTGACAGGCTCCCTCTCCGGTTGGACCTCACCAAAAGATGTGATCCTGAGTGGCAGGCATCCTCACAGTGAAAGGTGCCACAGGTGCAATTGTGGAATACCATGGGCCTGGCGTAGACTCCAACTCCTGCACTGGCATGGTGACAATCTGCAACATGGGTGCAGAAATTGGGGCCACCACTTCTGTGTTCCCTTACAACCACAGGATGAAGAAGTACGTGAGCAAGACCGGCCGGGCAGATATTGCCAATCTAGCTGATGAATTCAAGGATCACCTGGTGCCTGATCCTGGCTGCCATTATAACCAACTGATTGAAATTAACCTCAGTGAGCTGAAGCTGCACATCAACGGGCCCTTCACCCCTGAGCTGGCTCACCCTGTAGCAGAAGTGGGCAAGGTGGCAGAGAAGGAAGGATGGCCTGTGGACATCGAGTGGGTCTGATTGGGAGCTGCACCAATTCAAGCTATGAAGATATGGGGCACTCAGCTGCTGTGGCCAAGCAGGCACTGGCCCATGGCCTCCAGTGCAAGTCTCAGTTCACCATCACTCCAGGCTCTGAGCAGATCCACGCCACCACCGAGTGGGACAGCTGTGCAGGCAGAGGTCTTAAGGGATGTGGGTGGCATCGTCCTGGCCAATGCTTGTGGTCCTCTCCATTGGCCAGTGGGACAGGAGGGACATCAAGAAGGGGGAGAAGAACACGATTGTCACTTCCTACAACAGGAACTTCACAAGCCACAATGATGCAAACCCTGAGACCCATGCCTTTGTCACAACCTCGGAGATTGTCACAGCCCTGGCCATTGCGGGAACCCTCAAGTTCAACCCAGAGACTACTCGATGGACAAGGATGGCAAGAAGTTCAAGCTGGAGGCTCCGGATGCAGATGAACTTCCAAAAGCGGAGTTTGACCCGGGGCAGGACACCCACCAGCATCCCCCCCAAGGACAGCAGCAGGCTGTTGACATGAGCCCTACCAGCCAACGCCTGCAGCTCCTGGAGCCTTTTGACAAGTGGGAGGGCAAGGACCTGGAGGACCTACAGATCCTCATCAAGGTCAAAGGGAAATGTACCACTGACCACATCTCGGCTGCTGGCCCCTGGCTCAAGTTCCGTGGGCACTTGGGCAACATCTCCAACAGCCTGCTCATTGGTGCCATCAACATGGAAAATGGCAAGGCCAACTCTGTGCGCAATGCTGTCACCCAGGAGTTTGGCCCCGTCCCTGATACTGCCCGCTACTACAAGAAACATGGCCTCAGGTGGGTGGTGATCAGGGACGAGAACTATGGTGAGGGTTTCAGCCGGGAGCACGCAGCTCTGGAGCCTCACCACCTTGGGAGCCAGGCCATCATCACCAAGAGCTTTGCCACGATCCACAAGACCAACCTGAAGAAGCAGGGCCTACTGCCCCTGACCTTCGCTGACCCAGCCGACTACAAGATTCGCCCTGTGGATAAGCTGACTATTCAGGGCCTGAAGGACTTCACCCCTGGCAAGCCCCTGAGATGCATCATCAAGCACCCCAATGGGACCCAGGAGACTATCCTCCTGAACCACACCTTCAACGAGACGCAGATCGAGTGGTTCCGTGCCGGCAGTGCCCTCAACAGAATGAAGGAGCTGCAGAAGTGAGGGTGCCTCCCCCCACCTCCCCGCCCAGCGCTGTTTTCATATTCAAGTTCAGCTCCACATGCACCATCAGCGGATCCGATCCAGCCAGCTATGGCTTCTTATTCCAAGATGGTGTGACCAGACATGCTTCCTGCTCCCGCTCAGCCCACACAGTGGCTGTGGTTGGGTGGGATTCTTCACATCGCTTTTTAGTCCCTGCCTGCCTATGTTTAGTTTTCAGATCTTAAGCAGCTCCATGCAAGTGTATTTATTTTTGATGACAAGACTCCCATCTAAAGTTTTTCTCCTGCCTTAAAAAAAAAAAAAAAAAAAAAAACAGAACAGGAACAGTAACACTAAAGGCAGGACTTGGAGAAAGTGACGAGGCTGGCCGACAGAGTGGACCAAGCATCTCATACAGAGCAGGCAGGATGAGGCCTGGGGAAGCATTTCGCACACATAGTGGAGACACAGGCCTTGGATATGGCACAGCAGCCTTGAAGGCCATCCTTAGGAGTTTGGCTCTGACTGTGGGTCAAACAGACAGCTATGGAGGGCTGTGGGCAAAGGAAGGTATTATCTGGCTCGTGTTGTAAAGGGATCACTGTGGGAGCAGCGACAGGAGGAGGGACCCGGGCAGCAGGCCCCGGAGGAAATGGCCGTGGCTCTGCTGGTGTGGTGGTGAGCGGAGTCGGAACCTTGAGCTGGAGCCAGCAGGACTTCCTGGCAGTCAGGGGCAGAGAAGAGTTGTCAGCGATGGCACCGGCGCAGTGGCCAGACACCTGGTGGGACACCACAGGCCGCGGTGCAGAGGGTGGGCTGGGGGGGCCGGGCTGAGATGGAACCCCGGCTGTACGCACACTGAGTTCGAGGTGGTTTATTAGAAGTGGGCAAATCTGGAGTCTGGAGGGAAGTCTGCGATGGAGGTGACACTTTGGAGTATCACTTTGCTTATCGGTGTTATTTAAAGGCAGGAAACCTGATGGGTTACCAAGGAATTGAGGGACACGAAGGAAGGGAGCCAGGACGTAGCTGCAGTGGCAGAGAAGAGAAGGTGCGGTCACTGAGGTGGGAAGACGTCTGTTTCCCTGGAAGCCATGTGTGGAGAAGGGAGGGGCTTCTCCCCTTGTCAGCGGCTTCTGGAGCATGAGACAAAGGCCCAGCACTGGCCATTGGAGTCGGTGTGGAGGTCCTCGGGGAACTCCTCGGCGGCATAGATGGCACTTCACAGGAGTTTTGTTGCAAAAGGTAGGACAGAGAGAGTCGCAGCTGGTGAGCGAAATAGGGTCAAGGAAACACTTTAAGTTCAGAGAAATAACAGAATGTTTGTAATTTGACGGGAGCGATGTAATGTGCAGTTGGAAAGCAGGGGTGACGTAACAGGATGCAGTAGGTGTGCTGGAGTGACCTCTCCAAGGAGGCAAGGGGCTGGGGGCAGGTGCACCAGGGTGAGGGATCAGACAGGATTGCTGATACCGCCGTGGGTGAAATGACACCGGTGGGTGCACAGGCAAGCTGGAAGCTGTGGGTGCTGCCTTGGAGCGTGTCAGTTAACAGTGAGGTGCCTGAGGGTGGAGGAGGTGGCGGTGCTGGATTGAAGGCAGAAGAGAAAGTGTGAAAGCGCTCAGGAGGAGAATGAATGAGCCGTCCTCCAGCTGCAGCCTGCTTCAGAGAGCACTGAGTAGGTTTTCCAGACACAGACTGCTGGGCAGACATCTGATTCCGTAGATCTGGGTCAGGACGGAGAACGTGTATTTCTAACAAGTTCCAGGGTGATACTAATGCCTCTGGCTTGGGACCTCACACTTCGGGGTGACACTGGTCTGGAGCCAGGTTCTGTGGTAGCCTCAGGGGCTCCTGTGGTCCCCGCTAGTGAGAGCAGGTAGCAGGTGTGTGTGTTCTTGCCAGGCGTTCAGCTTACTGTTTAGTTTATCTGAATTGCTTTTTCCTGCACGTGGGCTCATTGGCTGTCCTCAAGAGGACACATAGTGACATGCTGCAGAACAGTCACGAGTGGGGATGGAAGCTGAGTGGAAATGCTGGCCAGGGTAGCTTATGTCTGTGAGGCATGATCTAGCTGAATCTTTTACTGGGGCCCTGACATCAGTTTCTGGGGTTGGCAGCCCCTGCTGAGCTGGCTTCCAGCCACCTGCCCTTCACAGTGGCACCCTGACCTTCACTCTGGGCCAGAGACCCTCTGTCTTCAAATAAGGCTCCTGTTCAGTGCCGGGTGCAAAAGGCATCAGGGAGCTGACTGAGGTCTGGCCTGCCTGTGAGCCAGCCTCCTTGCTGCCAGCCAGAGGCACGAGGTCTGGGGCCACGCATCCCGTGACCGACAGCCACTAGGCTCGGGGCTCAGCTGCTCCTCCGTCCTCCCACCACCTCTCTGCTCAGCTGTTGGTTACCACTTGCTTCCTCTGCTTTTCAGCTTCCCCGGTCGCACGGCTGTTTCCTGCCCTCCTGCCCCGGGCTGTGGGATACACCGGCAGGCTTGCCTGATCTTGTGGACCCTGGGAGGGAGCCTAAGTGTGTGCCCAACACAGGTAGTCCGTGGGCACACACAGACCCGCCGCCCCCACAGCCTGCTGAGTTCAGGGACCAGAGACAGGCTGGATGTATTGAAGCCTATGAGGGTTTGCATCTCGGTACTTTTCCTGGGACTCTTCCTGAGCCGTACTGAGTACGCGCTGCTGGCACAGCCATCACACATAGAGCAGAACGTCAAGCCCCTCACTCCTCCTGGTCCTGTGCAGAATCCATGTTCAGGGACCAGAGAGGGGCACGGAGCACACCAGATGACTCAGCTTTTCTGAAATTTTCTCACATGGATTATTTTGCTAACATTTTCATTTTGATTTTTATCCTATATGGAAAGCCCATTCAGTCTTTGATTTTGAATGGGAAAGCCCATTCAAATGGAAAAGTTCACAAATTGGGACCATTTTCTGAGACCCCGCATCCTCTCCATTGCTGGCTGACACAGAGCCACCCGCTCTGCAGATGGCTGTGTCTCTGCAGCCTTCCTGGAAGAAAAGCCCTCAGCAGCCACCGGCATCAGAAGGAAGCAGCTGATGAGGAGGGAAGGGGGAGGAAGGGGGAATTGCCATGGCCTGTGGTACAACTACAAAACCAAAAAGCCATGACCCTCTCCCCGCCTTCCCTCCCCCAGCTTGAAAAGTATGAGGCCTCACAGACATCATCTGCTGATGCCTGAAACGCCTGTATTCCACATGCAGAGAGAAGCGCACAGCTAAAGTGCCTGGGCTGGTGAGGGTGTGGCTCACTCATGTGGCAGGAGTGGTCTCTGGGCCTTAGAGGATTATTGGGAGGATTAAATAAAATAACTTGAGTAACGCACCTAGGATGGTACAAGCGTGCACTACATGCCACTTTTACACTAAATTAAGGATTAAGTAATGGACATCAGTTTTCTAGGAAAAAAGAAGTTAATCATGGAACTGGTTGCTTCTGTAGCTCCGCCCCATCAGAGAGCAGCAGGCACCTCCACCCCACCCCCAGGTCACTTGTTCTCTCTTCCAGACCTGCACCACTTCCTCGGTTCTTCTGTGAATAGCAGCCCCTCCCTTCAGAGAACTGCTCTTCCCGTTCAGATGAAGCAGCTTCAGCATACACAGGCCTCACACACAGCTGGCTCTTCTGGGGAGATGTGAAATTTAATCTAAAATTAGCACATTTTAAGTCATCAGTAATGTTCCCAGTGGCCTACTCAAGGGATATAGCAACAGGGATTCTTCATTCTCTTTATTCTAAGCTCTGATACATTTAATGGGTTTAATCGCTTGAGTACATTTCACTTCTAATGTATAATAATAATATTGGCCATTATTGAGCTGGGCACTGTGCAGAGCACTTGATAAGCATCATTGCATTCAATTATCCTATTTGGCCCTGCTATAAAAAGCCTGTACGTAAGCTTCTCAAGACATAGCTTATGACAAGTGAGGTGGCTGAGGGCGGGGAGAATCACCCAGGGTCACACTGCTAGTGAGTTGTGGAACAGAGATTCCTTCAGACCTTAATGTATGAGAGTAGCATCCAGACACTTCAAAGTCAAGGATAAAAGGTGGCACTAATTACATTCTCAGAAGGGTGGAGGAAGACTGGCTGTGGGAGTGGACAGGAGAGTGACATCACAGCGTTGAGAGCTCCGTGGACAGAAGACGTGCCCAAGTCAAAGCATTAACTTGTGCGCACAAGCTATATATTTGTGTGTTATAGCCTGTTCAAACAGGCGGTTGTCAGTGTCTCAACCTGGTGAGCTTCTGAAGGAATAAGATGATGCAACTGTTACTGCTTTGCACCCAGTTAATGAGTCTAGACAGTGATCGCTGGTGGCTCTCTGGGGACAAGCAGACATGCGTACCTTCTAACGCAAATACACACCGCTTCTGAAGTAGACCTAAAAAAATAACACCCTAAATCTGATCAAGCTTCTCCATCTACCAATTTATAAGAAATACAGTGGCGGAGGGCAGAGGAACACATTGGAAAACACCATCCCCAGACAGTGGCTGAGCTGCAAGACAAAGGACCTGGTTTCTTTCATTAAAAAATAAAAGGCACATGAATTTAAAAAGAGACAAAGATGAGCCTTTAGGTTCAAAGAGACACAGAAATCTCATGCCTTATTTGGACCAGATACAAGCAATTTTTAAAAAAACAGATAAATATAAATACTGGTTGGATCTTTAAAGATACGGAGAAATTATTTTCACGTTTAATTCAGATTGATATGCTGCCTGCGGAAATGTTTATAGATGAAGCGTCTGGGATTTGCTTCAACATAATGCAGGGAAGGTCCAGGAGTGTAGATCCGTGAAATAAGACTGGCCTTTTGTCTACTGCTGTGTGATAAATCACCCCAACAAGTGACAGCTACCGTGCCCAGCCATAACGTCTTTATTTTATAATTTATCTACTATAGTCTAGAGTTTTGATGATGGTTTGAAGGCTTGTCCCATCTCATCAGCTGAAGTTGGAGATCATCGGACAAGAGTTATGTGGGTTATGAGCCCACCTCACTCCGATATGTCCTCACCTTGACTAGTGACATCTGCAATCACGCTATTTCCAAATAAGGTCGCATTCTAACAGTCCAGGAAAGACATGAATTTTAGGGAAACACTGCCCAACCCAATACATTCTTCATGTGTGCCTGTTCAGATGGCTGCTTGAGTCCCTATGACATGGTGACTGGATTCTCCCAGAGCAATGATCCAGGAGAGTCATTGGCAGAAATTGCAATCACTTTATCAGAAGTCACACACCATCATCTCTACCAC